CCCCCCCCCGTTGTATTATTTAAACACGCGATCCTATATATTATGCATAACGACGCTGCGACGTTTTTCTATTCCGATTCGAAGGGAGAATTGAATTCGGCGAAAACGTTTTTTTTTCGTTTTAGGAAACGATTTTCTCTCGACAAACACAAAGTTATGATCGCCATCGGCTCGTCGTGTGACGAACTAATCGCTCTGCAAATAATTGTATATCGTCTACGGTCCACGCGATAAACTCTAATCTACCAGACACCGGTCGTAGAACCCGCACGCCTATGAAACTTTAAACGAATTTAAATATTTTCGAATAGCCGGAACGGAAATCAGAACCCGAATTTTCGGCTGTAGTCCATGACCGGAAAACAGAAACCCAAACGCAACCCGACGCGACAAAAATGAACTCGATCATCACTGATGTTGTTTTCGAAATAGAACATACCGTATGTTGCAGAATTAAAAATTCTAAACTGACACAAAGCGCAAACCAGTTTTGCGCTTCCGTCGAAAAAAAACTATGCGTTTTATAGCGGCTGCACTAATTTCGTTTTGCGTTTTTATGTTTCAAATTACGCATAAAAAGTAGGTTCAGTATTATGCAGTTTGAATTTAAATTATTAATTAACGTCATTATACAATTTGTTTCGTATTATTAAGTGTGCACAGGGTACATCCGTTTAATTATCCCGAAATCAATATTTACACTGATGATGATGATAATAATTAGCCCGGTTCACTATAATAACAATCATAATTGAAATCGGTTATTGCAGAACGAATATTTATAATCACCGTAATCAACCGAGAAATATTCTAAACACTAATCGATTCGTATTTATGAGAAATCGCTAAAATCCGTTAAAAATCGCCGAGCATTACGTTTATCGCTTCCTTTAAAGACGTCTTATTGACGGACGTACCATCCAAACACGAAAACGAAATTGAACGGAGTTCAGATATTTTCGCGGATGTTAACATTTTTCAACCTAATAAAAACGGTATTGCGGTTCAAAATCCAAACAGCTCTACGCACTCGGTGAAAATCGATCCGTTTTTTATCGATAGCACATCATCGCCTTTCCAATATATTTTACCGGAAAACGCGGGCCTTGGATATCAATTTAGATTCGTCGATTTTAATTTAGGTTCGAATATCGAATTTCATACGCTGTCCGTTTCATATTGTTCTCCGCAATTCAATAGGATTCTAATAATTAATTATCCTCGATTGTACGCATATTTCCAGATTTTGATAACATCAATGACGTTTTGTGATTCGACGGGGTTTCGATTGTAATTTACTACCGGTAAACATAATCGAAATTCGTTTAAAGACAATAGAGAACCAACATAATAACTTTTAGATTTTTTATTTTTTTTGAAACGACTCGTGACGAATCCAAAATCATAATAACGTCGATTTTCGACGCACAAAGCTCGGCTCGGACACGAATTTCTCGGGCCGACGACGTGACATTAATAATATTAATAATGCAAACCGAATATGGCGGCAGGTGTATGATTGATTAAAAAAAAAAAAACGTTTATTTAAATATATATATAAGCGGACCGTAAACTAGAGAAATGTTGAAAGCCGAACGACATCGCGGTGGTCGTCAGACCTCCAAACGGGATGGACCCGGTGCCAAGTTTATAGTGAAATATTCTCTGTCGTCGTTATCACCATTATTATTATTATTATTATTATTATTATTATTATTATTACTATCATCATTGTTCGTGTCGTGAATAATGACCGCGCGTTGATCATCGTCGTCATTATCGTCGGTGTCTTCGTCTCTGCCTCTGTCTCTCTCTCTCTCCGTTTTGTATTTGCTCGTATAATTTGTTTTGGTCCGACCGACTTCTACTATATATAATTATTATGTACGGTTTTCCAATATCCGTCACCGTGGCGTTTTCGAAATGTCGCTGAATACTCGTCGTCATTATTGTTTGGGCGCGGACTCGACGAAATCGATATGCGTACGCCGCTGGTTTACGCACGTATTGCGTTTCTATTCCCAGACACGTGTGTTTTTGTATAGGCTCTTTACAACCTTGTGTTTGTGTTCGAGGATTTCGCACACACGTATGTTTTTCACGTTTATACGGTACATCCAAAAGAACGTAACGAGGCGATAATTTCGGAGGATCGAAATCCTCTAAGATTTTGTTATCCACTGCGACGACGGATCCTACTATTGTTGGCCGAGAAACGCGACTTTGAATTTGGCTCGCAGAGATCTTTCATCACGCTTTTATCGAATTTCGCAGCGTTCCTCCGTTTTTGTTGTTTTTATTTTGTCCGTTTATAACATTGATCGGTACGGTCCCTGTCCGTGACAATTCACATTTCCGCTGTCGACGGGTATATTTTCCGATTGTGCGACAACTGTATAATAATACGCTATTATCGGGTCGAGAGAACCGCCACGGCCGTTGGTCCGGTACGTGCGGTTAGGTTATTACTGTACGCGCGGTTACCGGATTTATACGGCGTGGGTATCGTATAGATAATACAAATAATACGCGCCGACGATGCAGTTTCGCGTGTGTTATCGTTCGCCGACGGAACAGCGGGAATAATAATAATTGTTATTATTGTTATTGTCAGGCATTATGGAAAACGATACGAATCGGTGTAACATGTAAATTTGGCGATAAAGTAGGACGACGAACCGCCGAAACGCCGCGCGCGAGGACTGGTAGCAGGACGCGATAATCGCACCTATCGCATATATAATATATAATATTATTATGTAAATTTTCTCGTTAAGCCTTTGGGAAACCGACCGACCGACGGAGATTTTATTTTCGACGGATATTAAACCGGTAGGTAGATAGGTAGAGGTAGGTAGGTATACGATTTACGGCCTAGGCGCACGCTATACACAACACAACAATATACAGCGCGTTATTTCGATACCCCGTGCGTTTAGTTTCGAACGGAGAAAAAAAAATAATAAATAAAAAAAACAACAATGACTCAATTTACGTGACGCGATAAACCGCACGCGTCGAGATCACGATTTAACGCGATACAGAGATTTAAAACCGGTCGATATTGTTTCAAAATAGGCGGCATAATATTATTATTGATTTCGGACATAAATACCCCCGCTCCCGCTCCCGCCCACGAAGGGCTTATTATATTGTTATCGGTACCGTAGGAATATAATGTGTGTATTGTTTTCGAGGTTTTTTTTTCAACTCTGCGGTTTTTTTTTTTTTCTGTACGCGTGGCCATCACGTCTCGTTCCACTACGACAGTATAGAAATCGTTATTCGAATATACTCTTTACGCGCGCGTTCGAAAACGTTTTATCGGATTCTCGGCGGTCTTCAAAACGACGTTATACGGCTAGGGAGGAAATTGCGGACGGGGAGAAGAACATTCCGGAGTAAAGTGTAGAGAAAAATACGCGGGCACACCGTCGGTTAAGCGAGCAGGAGAACCGGAATATTATGGCGCACTGTGCGTTAGAGGAAAAAAGATAAACTATTCGGTTCGGGTCGCATATTATTGCGATTTATTGGCGAGGAGAGGAGAAACGAAACAGTTATGGGGCAGCAATAGGCGTGGACCGGAAACGTCGAGGAAAAAAAACCGTCGAAGATGACCCGGAAAAAGACGGATTGACGCGGTGAGAGATGTTGTTAGACGAACGGTAGCAATTTAGGACGGATACTACGGGGCGGCAAAAGTGTATCTGATTACGAAGGCGAAAACTCTTCGTATAGTGGAAGAAACATTTTTGTACACCCGGTTTGTTGCGGATAAAATTAGAAAATTCAAACACTTTTTTTTCTTTTTTTTTATTACATCTATAGTAATCATGCCTTATATACGCCCTGGTGCACACGCGGCGCTCGAGCTGTAACCAAACGAGGTATAAAATGATAATAATTAAATCGAATTACATCGGTGGAGGTTCCGGCCGGCGGCAATAATATTATTATTATACTTCGTTTAATAATAATTACGGGCGTGCCATTATGGTTGTGCGTAAATCGGGCGATCGGTACGATTTTCCGACACGACACGATACGAGCAAAATATACGACAATTACGATTGGGGACTTACAGAATTTTTTCTTTTTTTTTCTGTAGTTTTTTCGTAGTTTTTCCCGTTTTTTTCGCACAATATTTTCTACGTTGTGATTAACATAATGTAGGTATCATAGACAAAATCCCAGATTTTCCACCCTATATTCAAAACAATTTCACCGTTGTATTATTCGACTTTTATTTCTCAGTTTTTGTTATCCGACCCGCTTGTTCTGACGTAGTATTGCCCGTAAAAATGGAAGTTTCGTTTTTTTTTTTTTTTTTTTTTTTTTTGTCGTTTTTCATATCACATCTTTTCGATATGGGGATTAAAAATTAATTTTGTTTATAATTAGTTTTCTTATAAAAACTATAATATTATTAGTATAACAGCGATTTCGAAATATTTCATCCACAAAACTGTATAGGTATACGGTATTATGTATTATGTATTGTTTATTATAACTGTATTATGTATGCAACAGTGAAAATATTATTAAATTTATATTAAAAGTTATAATATCCAATTTCAATATTCAATTATTATTTTTATACAGTAGGTATAAAGATTAGGTAGTGAGTTTTCCTTTTTTTGTCGTGTTCCAGAGATTTTCTCGGAGTATTTTAAGTAAATATGATTTGATTTGATTTTTTTTTCAATCGTTACACACAGATATTTAAGCTTTATTATCACCATTTTCGAGTATTTACTCTTATTATGATTTTAATCTTTTGTTATTTTCAAGACAACCTGCCCTTTTTAACGCAGATATGCAAATAGAATACTTAGACACATAACGCCAATATAAGATTTACCATTACGAGTTCATATAACGGTTTCAAATAAAGATAAGAATATGGAATATTATACAGAAGGGTTGTCGTGTAAAAATAGAAACCCAAATTTTATCACCATTGTGTTGAAAACGTGGATGTCGCCATTTGAAAATTAAAAGTAAATTTAAGGTGTAAGAATAGTTATGTTGAACAATAGCGTTATACCTAATAAAACTCTGATTGGTCGTGGGGGGGGGAGGAGAAAAAAAATCGTCAAAATTACCAGAAAATCGTTGATAAGCGATAAAACAATATTACTCTGTACAATGTAAATAATATTATACATAGTTGTTAACGTAAACGGGATATATTAACATTTTTTTTTTTTTTTTATTTTTTGTATCTGTATATATTCTTCTTGTAAGTTTATAAAATTTATCTTTCTTCGCGCACAATACGTCCGTCTCTATATTATAGTAACAAAATTATCTTTCCAGACGTCTCGCGTTTTATTAAGCGTGCCTAATCGTAAAACAATACGGTTTAGCGTAACCAGCCGTCTTAAATGTTTATTATTTTGTGTATACAAGAGTTCGCCGAGTAGTCGATTCGTAAAATTTCAGACGGTTTATATACGCGCGTGGTAATGCAGATTTTTTTTTTTTTTTTATGTGCAATAAAAGCGTAAGTATATAACTTGGCGGAGGATCGCCGGGAAATTTAATAATACGATTCCGGGTTTCGAATACAATATAAGTTTAATGCTTACGCGATTAAAGTTGTACGATTTTCGCCGTACCCCGCGGGGGGTTTTTTTTTTTTTATTTATTTATTTATTTCGAAAAGTTTCCCGAGATTTAAAATTGTTATAATACTCGACGGTGTTGACTTATACGCGTACGAGATTCGTGTGCCTGCATATATTCCGCGTATAGATGTAAACAAATTTGGACACCTGTTCGACTAAATTATACCGCGGAAAGTTTACGCGAGTAGTGAAATAATAACGCGCGTCAAACTGTCGCGCAAATCGGGAGAAGTCGTTTCGCATATTGAGACTGTCGTGTGTGTACGGATACTACAATACACCGACCTTGTATGGGTTTGGCGTTTGTAATAAAAAAAAAAAAAATAAATAAATAAAAATCCCCGTCTACCTACGTGAAAAAACATAATAATACGATATATATCGTAATACATATAAATATATCATAATATATATATATATATATATACACAGTATAATGACAAACCGACGACATTGAACGGGCGGAAATACGTGGCGCATATTGACAGACCGAACAAATATAGTTGAAAATAAATAGAAATCTTGGATTACGTGATTCGTTTAAAATTAATATAATGTTCTTGCGATACGCTCAATTTTTTCGAGTGATGCGCGTATTGACTTTTGGAATAAAGTCTTTGTGATAGAAAAGTAAAAAAAAAAAAAAAAAAAAATAAAAAAATTTTCATATTTTTTTTTTTTTTACTCGGTATCCCCGGCAGTA